TTATGATCTCAGCGTTCCACCTGGGAAAAGCCCAACATTGATCTACCGGGCTACAAAGTACCACCAGGGCTCAAGGGGTTCCCTATTTCCTTACTCATGAGGTTGTTGGCAGGATTCACTTTCTTGTGGCTGTAGGACGGAGGTATTGCTTCCTGGCTGGCTGTTAGCTGAGGGCCTTTGTGGCTTCTAGAAGCTGCCCTGACTCCTTGGCTTGTGGCTCCCTCCTCCATCCTCAAAAGTCAGCACGTGGCATCCACTGCCTCTCATTCTGCTGCCTTTTCTGTTGTAGCATCTCTCTGACCGGTTCTTCTACTTTCAAGATCTCATGTGATTCCACTGGGTCCCCCATAATCCAGGATAAGCTCCCCATTGGCAGGTTAGCTGATTAGTAATCTTAATTCCGTCTGCTACTTTAATTCCCGTTTGCCACATAACCTAGCACATTCCCAGGTTCCAAGGTTTAGGACGAGGCCCTTCCAGGGGATGCTTCTTTAGCAGACCGTCTAGTGTCTAGACCGTCTAGACAGACTGAGAACATTGAGATAGGTTAGTGGAATAAAATAGTGAGATAGGTTATGGAGACAAAAGCAACGGACCATGCGAAAGGAGAGGGTGACTGTGTGTGGCTCACAAAGAGTGGTGGAGTCCCATTGGAAATGGGTATTGATGGGTGAATAGGATCTGCGAGATGGCATTCCAGGGGGAAGGAGCAGCTTAAGACAGGGCCTGGGTGGGAAGGACATTCCCAGTTTAGAACAGCGTGCTGTGAATGGAGAACAGGCTGCATGAGAAGAATAAGGCAGCCCCTGTCCTGCCTTTCCCCTACCTACCGTGTGCAGAGTTTGGCTTATATTTAACTTGGCCAAATCGTGTGTCTTCCCTGAGCTCACGTTGGCTAACCAGTGCACAGCTTGAAAGAGGTTGAGGATGGAGGAATAAAACCTGCCCTGGGAAATCTAGGCTTATACTTGGAGTTAAAGAGCCACACTTGGATTTAACGGTGTTCCAAGGGACAAAGAGGGAGCAGCAGCCCTCTTTTAGGGCCCACCTGTTTTAACTGTTGCATGCTGAGCCTCAGCATTCCCCCTTCCTGAGGTGAGAGTTGGCACAGGATTCTCAGGTGGGACGGTGGGGCAAGCTGTCAGAATCTAGTCTCTGGTCCCATGTGGAGCAGATTCCAAAGCTGGTGACAGGGCCCAGCCTGTGGAAGCAGAGTCCAGGTATTCCCTGTCCTCTCCATAGTAAGGCTGATTTAAGAAAACCCTCTCTCGCTTTCTAGGAATGGCAAGCTGAGCACCAGCCTGGCTGGGAGTGGGCCCTGTTTACTGCACAATGGGAGCTGACTTCAACATAAGGCTGGGCTTGGGTGCAGTGACTCATGCCTGAAATCCCAGCAACTTGGGAGGCTGGGGCAGGAGGGTCACAAGTTCAAAGCCAGCCTCAGCAACTTAGTGAGGCCCTAAGCAACTTAGAAAACCCTGTCTCTAAATAAAAAATAAAAAGGGCTGGGAATGTGGCTCAGTGGTTAAGCACCCCTGGGTTCAATCCCTGGGACAAATAAATAAATAAATAAATAAATAAAAACAAAAAAAACCAAGACTGAGCTTTCTTGGCCTGTCACAAGCTCTCAGCCAAGACTTGTCTTTCTTTTTATTTTTGTTACTAATGTGCTGAGTCTGGCCTTGAGCTTAGGATCCTCCATCCTCAGCCTCCGGAGTTCCTGGGATTATAGGTGTGCGCCACTACACCTGGAGTCAAGCCTGGTCTTTCTTCATGCAAACCTTTTTCTCTCCTGCTTGTCTGTTATGTGGACTAGAAGTGGGGACAATTCACTGGCTTATCCCCATGATTTCAGAGTGTAATGTGTGCTGACGAGATTACCTAACATGTTTTTACATCCACAGATAAACACTATTCTAATGGTTATATTTTTATTTTTACTGTTACCTTCTTCATTTTTAAAAATATTTTTTAGATGTTTATGGACTTTATTTTTATTCATTTTTTATTTGTGGTGCTAAGAATTGAACCCAGTGCCTCACATGCTAGGCAAGCTCTCTACCACTGAGCCACAACCCCAGTCCTTTACTGTTACCTTCTGTTTGTGTTAATTGAGAGAGTTTTTTTTATTTCTGTAAGCATGTAGAATTTAAAAAAGAAATTTGAGTTTCAAATAGGGGTTCATTTAAAGGAAAGTCTGAAGGCAGTGCTAGTACAGGTTTTTGTGGATATGATTGAAATCATGATCTGATTCAATCCAGCAATTGGGAGCACGTGCCTGCAAAGAGAGCTGGGGAGATACGTTTGGGTTTTTTTGCATCAAGCTTGGTACAAAGCTGTGCTTAAATATGCACTGTGAGGTCTGAGGATGCAGCTCAGAGGTAGAGCGTCTGCTTAGCATGTATGAGACCCTGAATTCAATCCCCAGCAATGTAAAACATAAAACAAAAATTCCACTATGGAGTGGGGGTTACTAATGCTTGGCCTTTCTGTGGCCTTTGCAGATATTGATGAATGCCGGACCATCCCCGAGGCCTGCCGAGGCGACATGATGTGTGTCAACCAGAATGGCGGGTATTTATGTATCCCCCGAACAAACCCGGTGTACCGAGGGCCCTACTCGAATCCCTATTCGACCCCCTACTCGGGTCCCTACCCAGCGGCTGCCCCACCGGTATCAGCTTCAAACTACCCCACGATTTCGAGGCCTCTCGTGTGCCGCTTTGGATACCAGATGGACGAAGGCAACCAGTGTGTGGGTGAGTGGTCGCGTCTCTCCATTCTCTCCGTTACGCCTTCCTGAAGGCACCGTCTGCCTGCAGTGAGTCCATCCCGGGGGCATTGTCCGCCATGCAAAGTTCTCGTACAACAGTGGCCTGTTCCACAGACTCGGCTTATTCCAGCAGCCTGTGTCTCTGGGTTCTGTCCCTGGGGAGCTCAGCCTGGCTGGCTTCACGGTTTTCCAGAGAGCCGGTTTCTTTTTTCTTTTTCCTCCCTGCCTTTCTCCCTTCCTTCCTATTTCCTATATATTTTAAGGTCAAGCTCATATTTTCTCAACTAAATAACAAATATATTTGTTCAACCTTAGTAAGTGAATCCCAGAGAGTTCTAGAAAGGGCCAGAACTCTGATGGACTCCTACAATAGAAGTCCTGAGGGACAACACACCACCTGTTCTGGGAAGAAAGTGGGTTCCTTGGGTGGCACCAAGGTTCCTGTGGCCTGAGGAAGCCTCACTAATGGGAACTCTGGGAGGAAGTGGACGCGTATGCCAGGAGCCCCAGGGGAGTTGGCCAGGGTGTGACCAGTGCCCCACAGAGTCTCAGGTGTATTGGTCAGTGCGGCCTTGGAGGAGTTATCTGGAATGTTCCCTGGTCCCCTTGGCTGTGGTCAGTCTAAAATCTTGTAACTTCCTCGGGCTTTGGGAGGTGGACTGTAGTGAAGGCTCCAACTTGTTGGATCATGCGCTCATCTGTCACCTCTTTTTGACCCTGGACCCCTGTTATAGGCACATTTATCAATGACAGACATACTTGTTATACCGTATGGTTTGAGAACTAGAAAGCACATGCAAGACATAGAACACATAAAAGAATGTGATAAAAATAAATGTGAGTTGAACTTCTAATAGTTCCTCCCTATGCCCTCAAACTGTGGGAAATCATTAGTCTCCTTCATGAGATCTGTGTTGGTTTCAGGGCTCTGGAGGGTTGGGCTGAGCCCAATCATTAGACTGTGTTGATGAATTTATAATGTCCTCAGTGCGCCCATGTGAATGACGGTGCGTGGCCATTTGAATACAGGTAAGTATTGTGCAAACAAGCACCCTTCAGAGCTCCAAGGGAAAATTAAATTTACCTGAACCCTAACTTCTGCATTCTTACTGGTCTCCAAGGGCATGGTGTGTGAGAGAGAGTGCAGAGGTGCAGGTGGAGGGGAGAGGGAGGTGAGCTTGACCTTGAGGAGTCGAGTGTGTGAAGGGCAGGAGTGTGGGGACATGGTCAGCTGGCACTCTTCAGCCTTGGTGGAGAAGGTGGCTCCCTATTTACTTCCAACATGCAACAGAGCAAGAGACCATCCTAATCGGAAGGGCCTTTTCAACAACCTTTAATTCCAGTCTCTCTGTTTTATGGGAAGATGAACATGGACTCCAGCAAGTTAGAACGTGAGTCCAGCTGCTCTGACCACCAGTCTGCAGCTTCCTGACTAGATGATAGGACCTTTCCCATCGGTGGAAAAGAAATGGTCCCAAAGACAAGCAGAGAGAGACAGTGGGGGAGGGGATGCTGCTCTTCCAGAAGGACGTCACTGGGGCCACATCTGCAGAGTCACCAGCCCCTGCATGTGTGCAGGTGGAGGAGAGGAAGCGGGGCGGACACTTTCTGGACCCTCCAGCTTTGGGGGTGGTCGTGGGGCAGGCAGTTCTGGTTTATGTGTTGGGCCATCCCACCAACCCGTTTTCTGTTCTGGGGCTCTCAGGAATGTCCGCCTGCCTCCCACACACCTCCTCCCAGGGTTCCAAGGCCCCGGACAATGAGCACGTGGCTGGGCCACCTATTCATCTCCTGGTCCCTGTGACGTCATACCATTGGTGGCTCGGAACCTGTCACACGGGAGATGCAGAGCCTTCATAATGGCCCTTTTGTAAGAAGAATACAATCTAGGAACCCTAGTGAGGACTGGCACCAGGCCCATCCGTTTCCAGAAAGTTCAGCATTATGTATTCATAAGTCCCGAGTTCTTTCTGACTTCCCTGCACTCCACCCCACGGTTTCCTGGTTTACAGAGGGCTTTCAAACCAGCCCACTGAGGTCCCTCTGAGCATTGTAAGAGGTGGCGTCAGGGGGCCAAGAGCCGGAGAAGGGTGGGAAGGAAAGTTCTCTCTATCAGCTCTTCCTTCCAGGACTGGATGGGAGAGAGGAGGCCTGGGAACAGGCTGGAAGATGATGAAAGGAGATTGTGGGGGAAAGACAACGAGGGTTGTCCAGAATTGTCACTGTCCAGAGAGAGAAACTGTGGAAGAAGCAATGGACCAGCAATTGGGAAGTTGGGAGAACCAGGAAACATTTCTGGAGCCTTGTTTGCTCTTGGAGAGGAGGGTATCTCCAGAGGAATCTTCTCTTTATCTTGACAAAAATAATAAATAGCAACAGCAATAGCAGCCCCAGTAAGACGCTGACACATACATGCACAGTCTTCGTGTCCAGGATCCTCAGAACCAATGCACTGTGTCCTCAGAACCACGGAGGACTCTCTCACACACCATGCCCTTGGAGACTAGGAAATCAAAGCGCACAGAAGTTAAGAAACCTACATAAGGTCACCCAGTGAGTAAGGGGCTGAGCCTGGATCTGAACCTGGTCAGGCTCTGGGTGAGAAAACGGAGGCTCAGTGGAGTAAAATCTCATTCAAGGGCACTCACAGAGCCAGTACCGAAGCCAGAATTAACAGCAAGATTTTTGCTTTTTTTTTTTTTCATGAAAATTTTTGTTCTGTTAAGACTGGACAAAAGTAGTGAGAATCTAATGAACATTTACCTATTTACCACCCAAGTTCAGTGGTGATCCACATAAGCACAATTTCCTTTCTTCTTTACCTTCCACTTAGTGCTTCAATTTAAAGCAGATACCAGACACCGTATCATTCCATCCTTAACTATTCCAGAATTATCTCTACAGGATAAAAGATTCTTTACAAAAATATCTTAAAGACTCCCTCAAAACCCACAATACCATTACCACTCCTAGGCAAGCTGGCAGTCACCCCTTTTCATCCTTAAACATCGGGGTGGTGGGCAGATTTCCCTGGTTGTCTCACTGATGTCTTTATCCTTTTGACTTGATCAAATCAGACCCCAAATCCACCGGGGTCCTTGTTGCTGAGTCTCTGGATATTGTCCCCTCTGCCTGCTCCCCTGCCACGTCCTTGTTGAGGCCGCCGGTTGTTGTCTGGAGTATCTCCTACAGTGGGGTTTGGCTAAGGGTGCTCTTGAGATGGTCTGTAAATGATCTAATCTATTTCTGCACCCCTTATTTTTCTGTAAGCTGGTAACAGGCCGAGAAACTCCATCCAACCCAGTTGAGTGTTTGGTGAACATTTCTAGGCAGGGTTCTTGGTCTCTTGCCTTTACCATTCCTGGGTTTCTTCTCATAAAGTATGAGAGAGTCTGCAGTGAGGAAGCAGAAGGACATCCTCTCCCTCTGGCTCACTTTTGCTAAATTTCAAACCCACTTTAAAAAAACAGGGCTCACTCTACTGCCCTGTGTCCACAGTAGAGTGAGCCCTATTCCCACAAGTCCTGCAGGTTAGGCAGAGCCCTGGGTCCCCATGTCTCAAGGTTTGCTTCTTTTTTTTTGCAGGGGGGATGGGTACCCGGAATTAAACTCAGGGGCCCTCGACCACTGAGCCCCATCCCCAGCCCTATTTTGTATTTTATTTGGAGAAGGGTCTCACTGAGTTGCTTAGCACCTCACTGTTGCTGAGGCTGGCTTTGAACTCACGATCCTTCTGCCTCAGCCTCTGGAGCCGCTGGGATTACAGGCATGTGCCACCGCCCCCAGCTAGAAGTTTCCTTCTTGATTTTGTTGTTTTGGGTTTCACTTTGGAGATAACTAGACCCTGATCCTTCTAGAGCAAAGTTTGACCTCAGGTTCGAGTCCCCACGCCCCTAGACACAAAAGTGGGTCACTTGTGACATGTTTGCAAACAGGAAACAGTGACCCAAGAATCCCAATCCATAAGCCAAGAACATTTTGTATCATTAAGGAAAATGGTATCTTGGCTTGAGGGTGCTCAACGCTACAAGAGCGATGGGATTCAAGGCTGGTTGGAATGTCTCCCTCGCATTTTCAACCCTTAGGAGATCTGGTGACCAGATTCTCCCACTGGGAAGCCAGACAGGCATGACTAACTGGCAAGAAGGAAAGGGCCGCAGGAGGGAAGTGTCACCAACCAGGACGCAGATAAAGGCAAAAGCCAAAACACACAGAGTCCTGGGCTGGCTGCATAGCCATCTGGGAGCAGGACAGCGAGGGCTCAGCGCGTTCATGTGGAAGGTCCGAGAGTTGGAAGTTGTTTCTGAGCCTGGGATGCCTCAGATTTGAATCTGCACTCAGAATCCTTCCTCTTCTAATACGGCCCCCCCCCCAGACCCAGTCCTGAGTGGCTGCCTCTCGTCCCTGCCTGCTTATCCCCTCTGGGGCTCAGCTGTCATCTCTCTGGGTGGACATTCCAAGTCCTGGCTCTGCTAACCAGCTTGGCTCAGGGGCAGACCTCGGCACTCCCCCAGGAAGGCCCATGAGCTGCTTTGCAGCTAAGGAAGCAAGCAGCCTTTTTGCTAGAGCCGGGCCTCAGCAGGGACTGAAGAGATTCCTTTGGCCATTTGCAAAATTTCAAGCAGTATCTTTATTTTCCCATTTGGTCTGAAAATGTGTTGTCGTTGTTGTTGATCAGGGCGTCCAAGCAGGCTGGGGGTAACACACACAGATCCTTTGGAAGATGGTTGGAGTCAGTCTGAGGCTTTCTCTAGGGTTATTTTTCCTGACAGACAGCCAATATTTAGTCAATGGATATTTATACAACACCTCGATGGTGGCAGGCCCTGGCCTAGGCACAAAGAGGGATGCCGTAGTGCTCTCTTAAGAGCTGTGGTCAAGGAAGGCCGTATGGTACAATCTAAGGTGGCACTAAATTCCTAAGATGGCACCAGAGGAGGAAGAGACGGGAAGGCTCCTGGGGTGGAGGGGCCTGGAACTTGGAAG